AGACAAATCAAGTATCATCAATGATCACTCAGGGGTGACAACAAGACAAATCAAGTATCATCAATGATCACTCAGGGGTGACAACAAGACAAATCAAGTGTCATCAATGATCACTCAGGGATGACAACAAGACAAATCAAGTGTCATCAATGATCACTCAGAGGCGACAACCAGACAAATCAAGTATCATCAATGATCACTCAGGGGCGACAACTAGACAAATCAAGTATCATCAATGATCACTCAGGGGCGACAACAAGACAAAACAAGTATCATCAATGATCACTCAGGGGCGACAACTAGACAAATCAAGTGTCATCAATGATCACTCAGGGGCGACAACCAGACAATAAGTATCATCAATGATCACTCAGGGATGACAACAAGACAAATCAAGTGTCATCAATGATCACTCATGGGGGACAACATGACAAATCAAGTATCATCAATGATCACTCAGGGGTGACAACAAGACAAATCAAGTGTCATCAATGATCACTCAGGGGCGACAACATGACAAATCAAGTGTCATCAATGATCTCTCAGGGGGACAACCAGACAAATCAAGTGTCATCAATGATCTCTCAGGGGGAGACAACCAGACAATTCAAGTGTCATCAATGATCTCTCATGGGGGACAACATGACAAATCAAGTATCATCAATGATCACTCAGGGGCGACAAAAGGACAAATCAAGTGCCATCAATGATCTCTCAGGGGGACAACCAGACAAATCAAGAGTCATCAATGACCTCTCAGGGGGAGGCAACCAGACAAATCAAGTGTCATCAATGATCTCTCAGGGGGACAACCAGACAAATCAAGTGTCATCAATGACCTCTCAGGGGGAGACAACCAGACAAATCAAGTGTCATCAATGATCTCTCAGGGGGAGACAACTAGACAAATCAAGTGTCATCAATGATCACTCAGGGGCGACAAAAGGACAAATCAAGTGTCATCAATGATCTCTCAGGGGCGACAAAAGGACAAATCAAGTGTCATCAATTAATGATCACTCAGGGATGACAACTAGACAAATCAAGTATCATCAATGATCTCTCAGGGGGAGACAACTAGACAAATCAAGTGTCATCAATGATCACTCAGGGGCGACAAAAGGACAAATCAAGTGTCATCTATGATCTCTCAGGGGCAACAAAAGGACAAATCAAGTGTCATCAATGATCTCTCAGGGTCGACAAAAGACAAATCAAGTATCATCAATGATCTCTCAGAGGAGACAACTAGACAAGTCAAGTGTCATCAATTATCTCTCAGATTGGACATTTCAAAGGACAAAGTCATGACTTCAGTAATCACTTAGGTGTGGGGGAGATGTTTATCAGGACAAAGTCATGACTTCAGCAATCACTTAGGTGTGGGGGAGATGTTTATCAGGACAAAGTAAGGACTTCAGCAATCACTTAGGCGTGAGGGAGATGTTTATCAGGACAAAGTCATGCACATGCCATCAACAATCTTTAAAGGGAGACAATTAACCAGACATAATATCAAGGTGACAAAAGGATGTATGTCATCAACAATGTCGAAGTTGAGAGAAATGTACAGTAATTTCATTTAACTAATTGTATAACGTCAACTTGTAATTTTGTTTTTATTTGCACTTTCACCACTGTAGACCATAATGGACTCATCCAGATCAATGCATGGAAGAGTCTACTAAAGTTACATAGGAGTGAAAGGGTTAGTATATACAGAATAGGAATCATACCTTGCCCACAAGTTGTACAATTTCAGACAGATCTTCTTCTTCTTGCAATATTTCTTTACACTGAAATTGGAACAAGAAAATACATATTATAACTTCAAATTAGTTAAAAGGCTTCAAATAAATGTTTGTGTAACAGCTAAGGTATATGAGGGGAAAATACTGGTAAGCTTGTGACCCCCTCACTAGTTCAACAACTTTTAGCGGGGTCAGTTGTTGGATGGGTGACCGCCCACACATTACATTTGTTTCCCCTCTACCTACCTACCCATCAAAATACCCCCGAAAATATTTTGTTGTGATTTTCCACCAAGATTCTATTTTTCACTTTAGCTGAAAAAGTCTTAAAAAAATCAAGCTTGTTCTACTCCTAATCTCTTTGAATTAAAAATTACAATTTACAACATTAATACAATTTTTTTATAAAAACAATTTCCTTACCTACTTATCTATGACTTAATATTGTAGTTAATAAAAGTGAAAAAATGATTTTTAGTAGGCTTATTACCAGGTATGGGCTTATTACCAGGTATGGGCTTATTACCAGATATGGGCTTATTACCAGGCATGGGCTTATTACCAAGCATGGGCTTATTACTGAACAAATACAGTTCACTGAACAAAAAGTTACGCTAAATGACCTCGACCCTGCAGTCAACAATAAGATTTTTAAAGTATTTGTGTATAACAGATGTATCTTATTTTCTATCCCTTGCTCATCTTTATCACAAAACTGGCCCATTTTACTATATCATACAGCCATGTCATAAATATAGTATTACACACGTGTAATAAAACCTTCAGGTGCTGCAATTGATCAAAACCGCCGGGAACACATTCTTACGCCACTTCATGTACAATTTTTAATTAACTGAATTTCCCCCCCTCCCCCCGACAAATTTTTATGCTTTTGCTATTGAATGAAACTGGCCCATTTTACTATATCATACAGCCTAGTCATAAATATAGTATTACACACTTGTAATAAAACCTTGAGGTGCTGCAATTGATCAAAACCATGGTAACACATTCTTATGCCACTACATGTACTACTTTTGTTTAACTGATTTCTTTATTTTGTCATTATTTTTTTCATTGCATTTAAAACTGTTCCTTATTTTTTTTTTTGAAATCTGGAACTAATTTGCATTGCTCGAGATGACATTACTATGATGGAGCAGTTTTGTTTAGACATATCTATAGTTAGTTGATAACACATAATTGTGTTTGAAGTTTTTATTCAAATTAGGGATGTTATGTGATAAAAAGAATTTCATATTTTAAGGCTCGTGTCATGTCAAATTATTGAACTCATTTAATAAAATCAATATGACATGGACACGCGTGTAAAATCCTCTGTATACCTTTGTTCGGAGTGGTGTGAAGTCGGGGAAGTTTTTGTCGTAGAACTCCTCCAGGGCTCTCATGTATTTGCTGTAACTGATGAGCCAGTTGATAGCTGGGAAATGCTTTCGCTGGGCTAGCTTCTTCTCCAGCCCCCAGAACACTTGTACGATACCCAGGGTTGCGGAGGTTACAGGGTCAGAGAAATCACCACCAGGGGGAGACACACTGCAACAAACCAAAGTACAGAAATGTACAGCCTCATATATTTTAATAGGTGTTCAAATTGACACACATATTCTTTGATGTTACTTTGCTGTATGATGTGAATTTGACATCCGAGTAAATGAAACTGAAAATGTGTTTTTTCATTTCTTTCTCTTGATGCTCATTTTTGTCATTTAGCTACACGTTAAATAATAATCTATCTTCGTAATAATAATTTTTTGTCACTGTATTCCTGTGCCCTTTCGTTACTTACACTCCTACGTCCTCAAATGACCTTAGCTGTTAACTCATTCATCCCTGAAGACACATTTGAACTCTTCAAATTCAAAGGTTGGAATAGTTCATTACGAAATTTCAGGGGTATATGTGTTAATAAGGCATTAAACAATGAAAAACCAAACCAACTTACACGCCTACGATACATTACGCACTTATATGATGATGATCAATGTAAAGTCAATCATAGCTCGTAATTGATCACGTTTTTCAATATAATGGATTAAACTATAATGGACTAATGCTGTGACATGACAACATATTGATTACGTTCACACGACCAATTTTACCCTAGCAATGTAGTAAAAGTACTATTAAATTGATATCAAAGTTTTGCTTTTTACACAAACACTGTACGTATAAAACGTGTCACAACGTTTCAAGACCCACTAGTCCCTTTGTCATGCTATGACTGAGTGAGCAATTTGTATTTTTCACCTGTACCACGATGTGACGATATTGTATATTTTTTATGTCACTCGACCCGGGACATTTCGCCTATCACTAGAGAGCGTCTACACACTGCATCAGATAGGTTACAGGTAGGGTGTAGATCTAGCCCCCCGCCCCTGTTATGTCAGTATCAGGTCAGTAATAAATTATTCAATAAATACAAAGGTTCTTTCTCTCAGTATATTTTTTTATGCTGTTAACATACAATTAATGTATTCCTTTCGTTACTTACGCTCCTACGATACTGACACTGCCCTCGCGTTCTGGGTTACCCACACACTTGACACGTCCGGCACGCTCATAAAACGACGCAAGACGAGCTCCAAGGTAAGCTGGGTATCCGGAGTCGGCAGGCATTTCAGCCAATCGTCCTGAGATTTCTCTCAAGGCTTCTGCCCATCTGGAGGTGGAGTCAGCCATCATGGAAACGTTGTAGCCCATGTCACGGAAATACTCGGACAGAGTGATACCTAAAAAACATTGTAGCCCATGTCACTGAAATACTCGGCAAAGTAATACCTAAAAAATATTGTAGCCCATGTCACGGAAATACTCAGCAAAGTAATACCTAAAGAACATTGTAGCCCATGTCACTGAAATACTCGGACAGAGTGATACCTAAAAAACATTGTAGCCCATGTCACTTAAAAAACATCAATGTTTTTACGATATTGTTATTACTATTACATGCACATCAACATCAACCAATTGTAACGAACTTGAACGGGTGACATATGGCGCACCATCGTTGACCCGCCATGTTGCACCCTCACGAGGATTTGACAAGGTCTTACAAGATGGTCTCCGGGGTCTCATCTTCTAGTCTGCTTTTATGTATCCTGGTTGAAACAGTTTATGTGGCACAGAAATAACATTCTGTTATAAAAGATAGCAGTTGGACTGGAAGAATACCAAACTAATAGGTAGAGCTTAATATGTACAGTTTCGGAGTTGCGACCAATAAATAACAATAAATCAAGAATTATGTGTACACTTATTTTAAATTGTACAACATATCCTCAAATATATACAGCCTTTCCATTTTGGCCAGATAAATTTTGACCTCAATATTCACATTCTGTAGACGTCGGCCTCGGTTCTGCGTCAGTCGTTTTCTTTCAGATTCAGCAGAATGTAACATATGCAAAAGCAACCCTAGTTTATTTACAAAATCTCACCTGCTGGTCTATTTATATATATGGAGTATCCCTTGGTTTATTTATAGATTCTCGCCTTATGTTCTATTTATAGATTTAGACTCTCACCTGTGTAAATGGAAGCCTCTCGGGCAGCGACAGGCATGTTAGAGGTATTGGCTACCAGGGCTGTTCTCTTCATGATGGACTCTGGTTTCCCATCAACCTCCATGGTTAGCTGTCAACACAAGCATAACGATTAATATAAACGGTCAACACTACCCACCGACTCGCATCTCCAAGGTTTTCTGTCACATCACTTTTATTAGTGACAAGAATGTAGCACTTCACAAATACTTAACCTGCATATATACTTGTATCTCCTTTAAAAAGAAAATTTCAAATTCATGGACTCAACAGATTAATGTAAGTTTGGTTTTAGTCCGAATTATTCTTATGTTTTATCGACTTTTTTATATCGGTCTGTCGTCGATTAACATCAGAACTCCGGCCCTTGGTCGCTCTTGAAACTGATATTTTAGAAACAAATCATCACTTTCACACACATGTCACACATGGATCGAAAGATCTATTCTTTATGCACAAGATGGCATCAATAATATGTTTCAAAGATCATTACGAACAGTATTTCCCAACGTTTTCTATACCAACCCATGTTTTTAATGGAAAGTAGGGCATGAGCAATGTCACATGACTTGATGACATCTCACGCTACTGAAGGTATTTCCCAACTTTATGACGTTGGCCATCGAGATTTTAGTCACCTGGCATTAATTAGAAGCGGGGCTATCAAAAACGTAAATTAAACAGAGTAAGTTTGAAAAAATATGTTTTTAGTGATTGTATTGGTTGTTTGAGGCATGTAATTTATGTTCATCTTGTGCATAAAGATTAGATCTTTTCGATCTATGTGCGACATGTGTGTGAAAGTGACCATTTGTTTCTAAAACAAAAGTTTGATGAGCAACCCAGGCGCGGGTCGCTTATTTCCCGCAAATTATAGAGGGCCAGAGTTCTGACGTTAATCGATGACAGACCGATATAAAAAAAAAGACGATAAAACGTCAGAATAATTCGGACTAGTTTGGTTTATGCATTCCAAACAGTTTCATCAGTTATAGTCACATTTCATCTTCAAAATCCAAGGTGTTGTGTAAAGTCTTTTCAAGTAAATTATTTAGTTTAGTCCCAGTGGTGCATCAAGATTGAAACTCTCGGATTTTAAAGATGACCCGTATGGTTCAATTATGAAGTAGAGAGAGTGGCCCATTTGCCGATCAGTACAGCTTTATCCCAGAAAATATTACCATTGAAAGTAGGCAAATTGGTTAATACTCATTACCATAAACAAACTGTCTTTTCAAATTTTTTAAGAGATTAAAAGATATTCTTACTTAGTATGCATAAAAGTATTGATTTTGAAACTTTGAAAACATTAGGTGTGATTTAATATAACCATTTTTGTGTTATCTGCAAAATATATCTCGGTACTACTAAGAAAGCATCAGGTGCATTTTGATAAATCTATCATAATTATCCGTGTATTGTGTACAGTAGTACGCCGGTACATTTTTAGGTGAAAAAAAAACATTTCTTGAAAAAATGTCAAGTTGGACCTACAGCACCAACCAGGTCCCAAATGTTCAAAAGGGTGTTAGCTTAATCACAGTTTAACGACGTTTCTCAACTTTTAATAATTTTGTCAATATACAAGGTATAAAATTCTCACAATTTTGCATGTAAATTCCCTTAACTAAATATTTGATATCTGGAAAGTTGTAACTAATTCAATGGCTGTGTTTTAAAGTTACTCAAAACTTCAAATTTGCGCTAATCACTGATTAAGCTAATCACCTTTTGAACAACTGGGCCCAGGTAGGTCACTAACGTTATCATTTTCCCCTCATAAAGTGTGCACTATACACGAATATTTGCGATATCTTTGGTCATACCTCTGGGAAATCTCTCAATACTTCAGACATTTCATTTCCTCTCTCCCCACATCCGACATAGACGATGACATCACTGTTGGAGTATTTGGACAGGGACTGGGAAATGACGGTCTTTCCACAGCCGAACGCCCCGGGGATGGCAGTCGTCCCACCTTGTACACATCTGGTGGGGAGGAAAATTAATTTGTTTTAGGAAAAGTATTACCCATCGTCACACAGATATATATGCATGTTAAATATAAAGTTGTCATTTTAAAAATGAAGAATGCTTTAAAATGAGTGTTTTATATTGTACAAATCAAGAAAATGGCAAAGCAAAAATCTCATTTTAAGAAAAAAAAAAGAGAAGCTATTTCATAAGCAACTTACATTTAAAGCTCTCAAGACGGTAATAATAGTGTTTAACATTGCACTTGCTTATAACTAAGTGATTGGGGTATTTGAAAAATATATAACACCCTCCCCCTTTTCATTTCCCTTAAAGATTGATAAGGATAACAAGCCGTTGGGATTGATATGTCTCCCCCACAGCATTTGACCATCAATGCAAATATCAGAGAAACTAACTTAAACACAAGACTTGTGTTGATGGAGATGCCGACAAAGTCAATGGACCATGAAAGATAGGCCGCATCCAGCATTTGATGCATGTGTTGAGATGTACTACCTTAGATGCATACATGGTGCAAGTTTGGTTGGTCTAGCACTTATACTTTCAGAGAAACTAACTTAAACGTAAAAACTTAATCTTGATGGAGATGCTGACAAAGTCAATGGACCTTGAACGGTAGGCCGCATCCAGCATTTGATGCATGGGTTGAGATGTACTACCTTAGATGCATCTATGGTCCAGGTTTGGTTGGTCTAGCACTTATACTTTCAGAGAATCTAACTTAAACACAACAAGAGGCCCATGGGCCTTAACGGTCACCTGATATATTTATACAGAGAGTTGATTTTGTTTTTAACATGAACAGAAATATTATTC